TTCCCCTGTTCCGGTGGCTTGGTACTCGGTGTTTTCAGTGCTGCCCTGCAGAAGGGCCAGGGCATCTGCTTGGCATGGTGGAGAGGGAAAGCAGGGGCAGGAGGAGCCCTGGGATGCCAGAGAAAGCCAGGCTGTAGGACCCTGCTCTGGGACGACCCTGGTTCCTAGAGCGGAGAAACATGGCAGGGAGGTGGGAGTCCCAGCAGACACGGTAGGGAGTGGTTGTAGCTCGTAGCCCACAGGTTTCCCGAGACCGTCAGAGACAGTCAGGAAGACATTTCCGTTCATATTGGTGAAGCTTCGTTATGTTCCATTTCCTCTCCCTCATCTCTCCCTGCTTCTCTTCCCCCTTCACACTCTCTCCCATCCCTCCACCTCAGGGCAGGTAAGTCCTCACCTGGCATTAGCCCTTTTCCCCCTTACCCCTTCCTCAAATCCTAGGAATGTTCAAAGAACTTTTCAGCAAAATTCAAGTCAAAATTTCAAAATAAAGCTGTAATTCAGTCTTTAAGAATGTCTTGGGGCCAACAGGAGGCGTGGTGGTTAAGGCACTGGACCCCACGTGGCCAACTGCACAGTCAAGACCCAGCAGTCTGAAAATCACACCAGGTGTGTGTGCATGTGTGCCCAAAATCCTTAGAGGAGATTGGAGGAGAAAGGATTGTGGCGTGGCCAGCCCTGTGGGGGCTGATTTCTCACTCCCCACCCCTTTCCATATCTGGCAAGCATGTGTGCCTTACAGCAAAAACAAAGGGCAAAATGATATGGGGAGACCCTGAATTCTTGAATAACTCAGGGCTGATGGCTGCCCCAGGTTTCTGTCCTCAGGCAAATTCACTGCCCCTTCCCGGAGCTACAGGGTAACCTGAAACCTTGAATAGGTTAGTCTTCCTGCTTCTCTGCCACCTCCATTTTAGGGCAGGTTCTGAGCCCCTTTCCCATTCCTAACACCCCGAGACCTCCCCTCTCCAATTCCCCCAGTTGGAGCCGGAGATTCAGTGTTAACTCCTTCGTGTCCACCGACATAATAAAGAGTTCTCCTGTCTCTCCTGAGTGCCATTTCCATTCCTTGGCATCTGTTTTTCTGTAACAAAAAGAATAAACACATTTTGTTCTCTCTCTTTTTTAAAAAAATAATTATAGATCAATAGGAAGTTACAAAAGTAGCTCCAGCAGGCTTGTGTACCCTCACCCTGTGCCCAGTCATGGCGTGTAACTTACAGCACAAGGTCAGAACCAGGAAGCTGACATCAGTGCAAGCCACAGGCTTTACTCAGATTTCACCAGTTTCGCAATTACTTTCTTTTAAACGAATCTCCCCTAATTATTAACATAATGATAACCATATCACTGAAAACTTGGGAACTAGAAAAATTAGTCTCACTAACCTGTACGGCCACTCTGGTCATTTTGGTGCTGACTTCCTCCTCTCTCTCTCTCTCTCTCTCTCTCTCTCTCTCTCTCTCTCTCAAGTGCACATATGCTCTGGCAATTCAAAAAGAAAAATTGTCTTGGGATCAGCAAATGGCATAATGGCTATGTTGTTGAACCCCCGTGTAGTCGACTGTGGTTCGAGTCCCAGACCTGGTGGCTTAAACTCACACCGGGTGCATGTGCATGTGTGCCCAGGATCCCGAGAGGAGAACGGAGGAGAAGGGATTATGGCGTGGCCATCCCCCCGGGGGGTGATTTCTTGCTTTCCATCTTTCTGTCTCTCTTCTGTTGCGCCCAAAAAAAAAACACCACAAAAAAGGGGGGGGGGGGGAAGTCTCAAATTTCACTGCCACCAACATTTTAAACTGTTGCTGTCAGTGGATGGGCTTGTTTTGTCACTCATATAGCAGTTGAAGAATGATACCTTTTCATAAAGTCGAAAGTCCTAACTGCTAGTAAATGTAGTCACTTTCTCGTCTGTTTACCGATAATGCTTTCTGTTTTGTGATAAGGCTATCTGAATTTTTTGTGCAGTTGTCTATCCGGTAAGTGGATTTTTTTGTTGTTTTTGAGAGACTTGCAATAGGGCATGTGTGCTAACTGGAGAGACAGAAAGTCAGAAATCATCCCCCAAGGGGGTTGGCCGCACCACAATCCCTTTTCCTCCAGTCTCCTCTCAGTATTTTGGGCGGGTTCACACATGTGCCTGGCATGAGATTCAAGCCGCTTGATCTGGGGCTCAAATCACAGATGACCACGTGGAAGTCCAGTGCCTTAACCACTATGCCACCTGCTGGCCCCTAGTGAATGCTTTACTTATTGGTTTGTAGGGGCTCCTTATCTGGTGGCGTTTTAACCTTCTGTCAAATTCGCAACAGGTACTGAGGAGAGGGAGGGAGGAAGGAAAGGCACGGTTTGTCTGGACTGTCAGCTTGCCGGCCTGTCCCGGGGTTGGGAGGTGGCGCCGTGCGGGCGTCTGGCCCTTCTGCCACACTGGTGCGGAGAACCTGGCAGTGTCTGCCCAGCTCCCTGGCTGCGTGGGGTGGAAGGCCGCCTTTGGGACAGGGTGCCCACCCATCTCAGAAAGACTTAAAGATTAGATTGTAAGAAAAGAAAATAGAAGCCATGTTTCAAAGACCTGAATTACAGGTACTTTGTCAGTCTGTAAGACCTGAATCCGAAATAGCTAGCAGTCTGACCCTGAAAGATCTCTGAATCGTGTGCAGTTACTTGGGCGAGTGGGTCAGGACCCTGTCATGAGATGGGGGGAAGGAAGACATCCAGTCTCAATATTTTCTTAGGCAACAAGTGAGATGTGGAGGCCAGGGGACAATGAAGTCTACCACAGGGGCGATGTCAGTCAGAGACAACGTGGCACGGAGTCTCCGTATTCCGGCCCGGCCTCAGATGTGGCCTATCAGTGTGTGAAAAAGGGTCTTGAGGGGGACCAGCAGTTAGCGTAATGGCTATGTCGCTGGACTCCCATGTAGTTGACCACGGTTCGCGTCCCGGACCCGGTGGCTTAAAACTCACGCCGGGCGCGTGTACGTATGTGCGTGCCCAAGATCCCGAGAGGAGAATAGAGGAGAAGGGATTGCGGCGTGGCCATCCCCCCTGGGGGGTGATTTCTCGCTTTCTGTCTGTCTCTGTCTGTCTGCCTGGTGAGCACACGCGCCCTATAGCGAAAACCTCTCCAAAAAAAAAAAAGAGGGTCTTGACTTCATGTGGAAGGGAAAGTCGACTACAGCGAGTACATGGATAAGAATAACGTGAGGCGACAGGCAACACAGTCATAGCTGATAGCATCGTATTTCTGAGCGACCAGCCCAACGCAAAGGTGTAGAATGGATGCTTCTCCTTTGGCCATTGCTCAGTCTCATTTCCAAATCATGTATAGTCTTTATCATTTCTGAGGACAAGAATTAAAATACTGCTACAAGTATTTCTTCCCAGTTTGCTGTTTGCCTATTGATTTGGCAGTGGTGGCTTCTCCTCCTCCTCCTCGTCCTCCTCCTCCTCACCTTCTTCTTCTTTTACAATTTGTTTGTTTGTTTGTTGTGATTTTCAGGCTGCCGGGTCTGGGACTCAAACAGTGGTCTGTTATGTGAGAATCCAGCATCTTCCACCATGCCACCTGCTGGCCTTTGGTTTACTTCTAATATACTACAAATGTGGAAATGTGAATTTTTATGAAATATAGTTTATCTTTTTCATTTTCAAAATTTATGATTATGATTATTATTAAGTTTGCTATAAGGCACGTGTGCTCACCAGAGAGAGACACAGAGAGAGAAGGAAAATGAGAAAACAAGCCACCAGGTTTGGGACTTGAACCATGGTCAGCCACTTGGGAGTCCAGTGTCTTAACCACCATGCCACCTGCTGGCCTAAGTCAATAACTTTTTACCCTTTCACTTTCAAAAGTTCGTTGTTTCCAGAGATGTGAGAGGTTACTGAAGTCATCTGTTTTCTTCCTTTATTTTCATATGGCTTAATTTTCTTTTTAAAAATTTATACTTCCGGCTGGCCTTATAATCTGGTTGGGGGAATGCAGATATTATGTGGCCAGCTACAGTTCAAATCCCAGCCCCACTGACCTGAAAAACATGCTGAGACCAGCAGATGGCATGGCGGTTAAGGCACTGGGGTCCTCCGTGACTGACTACAGTTCAAGGTCCGCACTCGGCAGCTTGGAAATCACACCAGGCGTGTGTGTGTGCATGCTCAAAATCCCAGGAGTAGAATGGAGAAGGGATTGCAGTGTGGCCATCCCCCCCTCTGGGTGATTTCTCTCTTTCCTGCTCACTGTCTCATTGTCTCTTGGGCAAGCGCGCGTGCCCCATGACATAAACTGGAAAAAGAAAAAGAAAGAAGGAAAGAAAGAAACAGGCTGGACCTGCCCAGGGCAAAACTTTAGGGTACCTCGGGGAAAAGGGCTGTGGGTTGAGAAAGGAAGGACAGATAAAAGCTGGGGCCGGGCGGACTGGGAGTCTCTCATGGAGAACGCTGCGGCCTGAGCCTTTCCGTGCAAAGCCACGTGCCCCAGCTGTGGAGCGTCTCCCGGTTCTATAAGCCTCTCCTGGCCTCCTCTGGCTGGCGCTCAGGTTTCTGCTCTCTCTGGAGCCCAGCAGGAGGTTGGGTCTCTGTTTAGAGCTTCCGCATTTCCTGCAGCGACACACAAACTATCTACCTTAAGGCGCTCCCTGTACTGGGCGAGTATGTGTACACAGCCAAAATCCTAACACGGTGAACAAATGGACAGATGGGGGTGACCCTGCCCTGCTGCGGGTGCTGCCTCTCTCTGGTGGATGTACACACTCTCTGCAATAAAACATAATAGAAATAATTGCTAAGTAAATAAATTATATCGCTGAACGCTGTAATACGCAGACCGGAAAGGGTCTTCCCCCAAATGTGTGCTGGCCTGAATCACCTGTGACGTGACCCGCCTCACTTGTTTGCTCACTGATCACTCAGAGTTAGTTTATTCAGGGTGGCGAGTCCCCCTCGGGGCCAGCTGTCACGTCTGCGGCGTCTGAAGCACTGTTTTCTCTCTCCTTCCCCAGATCATGACTCACACGGGGAAGACGAGGCGAAAGGGGCTGGCCAGTGTGCAGTGGAGCAGCGACGAGCCCCTGCGCCGGCCTGTCACCCCCGGCGGCCACAGGAACGGGTACCCAGTGTAAGTCCGGGCGAAAGGAGGCGGTGATTTATTCTCTTAAGCTTCGTTTTGCTCAACTGCAGTGTGAGATGTGTGTATTGAAAAATCGGAATAAAGAGTTCACATTGCAAAGGGTGTATCTCTCCATTATTGACCTTTTGAGATTTTTGGAGGGCAAAGAGCTTGAGCCCCGCCCTTTCCCTCAGGTCTCTTCATCCAGGAAGAGAGGGGGTTGGATTACAGACCGCAGGGCCACTTGGCAAGGAGGAAAGCAGCTGCAGGCACAGGGGGCTTGCCCGGAAAGGACTCGGGCTTCTCATGGTAGCACCAGCCCCTTTGTGGAGACTGGAGTGGCACAGTTTAAAACTCCGAATCACTTGACCTTAGGTGAGTTTTTGAAGTAACTACATGCATGGCCTTGCTCATTCTCGCAGTGGGCTCCTACCCCGCCTGTGTAATTACAACGTGGTCTGGTTCCCCAGAGCTTCCCAGTGGGGAATGGGGGAGCCCCCAGTCGGGCAGGCCAGGGAGCAGGAGGAACCCTCTCCTGCGCTCTGGGTGGCCTCTGTTTTTCTGTCTGGAGAATTCTGTGGTATAGAGAAGCAGGCACGAACAGGCCAGTCCCCAGCCGCATCGTCGCAGTGGCCGTGCAGTACTTGAAATGCTACACTGCGTTGCGTTTCGCTCTCTCACGGCCGGCAGGCTGGTCACTTTGCCTTCCTCGACAGCGATTTTGTCATGAACAGCCAGGCACTGGGGATTCAGTTGCAGGTGAAAGTCGGACATGCCTACCCTGGAGTGCAGATACTGGGGACACCAGTGTCCCCACACCCCCAGCCCTGTCTGAGTCTGCTGCCCATCTTACCTATAAATATTTCAAGGCCCATATTCTGGATCAGTGCTCTGAGATCTGGTTTATTATTATTTGTTTTGTCTATTTTAAAGTTTTTTTTTTAATTTTATTCATGAAAGAGAGCACACGCGTGTTCATACAAGAGAGAGGGGCACCCTTGACAGGGCCCCATGGCACAACTCCCCTCCCCCAGCACTTCGCGCATCAAGATTTGGGGCACACAAGCATGCTTCTAGCTTGTTTCAGGTAGGCCAGGCCAGGGATCCGAACCATGGTCGGCCACGAGACTTCCAGCACTGCAGTTGTGTACACTACTGACGGTGTCACCAAGCCTGGGCCTGCGATCTGTTTCACCATCAGTTACCAAATGCTTTTGTTTTTAGGTATTTCCTTTTAATTCCTGATATGTAAACTAGTACAGTGGCCCCCAGCCTTTTTGGTACCAGGTCCTGGTATTGTAAAAGACTTTTTTTTCCCCATGGAAATGGGGTGGCGTGGAGGTATGGACAGTGTATGAGAACACACAACCCAGCTCCCTCGCACGTGCAGCTCACAACAGGCTCCTTGCTCCTGTGAGAATCTAGTGCCGCCCTCGAGCTGACAGGAGGCAGAGCTCAGGCGGTGATGCGGGGAGTGGGGAGCGGCTTGCAAACAGACAGAGCCTCGCTCGCTGGCCTGCTGCTTACCGTCTCCTGTGAGGCCTGGTGATTTGGTGCCAGTCCTTTTTTTTTTTTTTTTTTAGATTTTTGCTATACTGTGCACATGCTCTCCAAAGCGAGAGAAAGTGAGAAATCACCTCCCACAGGTGGCTGACTAAACAGCAGTCCCTTCTTCTCCATTCTCCTCTTAGGACTTTGGGCATGCATACACATGCACCCAGTGGGATTTTCAAGCTGCCAGGTCTGGAGCTCGAACAAGAGTCAGCCATGTGGGAATCCAGCACCTTAACCACCACGCCATCTGCTGGCCCCAGCCTGGTTCTTAACAGGCCGTGGACGGACCCCCATCTGTGATCCATTCAGAGGTTGGGGACTCCTAAACTGGTATCATGCCTTTCTCTCTCTCTCTCTCTCTCTCTCTCTCTCTCTCTTTTACCTTTTTCCTTCTTCAACCTACAACCAGCATTTTTTTATGTTTAAACCTGCAGAACAGTTGAAGAATATTACAACCAAGAAATTCCAAGTGTTAACCTCTTGCCACATTTGCCTTCACTTGCTGTCTCTGTGCAATTGTTTATGTTACCCACCTTCACCTCTCTTTGCTGAATTGTTTCCAAAAAGGCTGGAGACATGCAGCTCGCATCTCCGAAGAGTAAAAACACCCTTGTGCATAAGTGCCTTGTCATACCTCAGAAAGTTACCAGTAGTACAGGGTGAGCATCCCCAATCCGAAATACAAAATGCTGCAGAATCCCAACTTGGTGTGGACCGCGCAGTGCCGTAGTGGAAAATCCCACAGGTGACCTTGGGTGACAGGTCGCTGTCTAAATGCTGCGATATAGAAATATCAAATAAACTCACCGTCAGGCCATGTGTATAAGGTGTATATGAAACACAAATGATTTGTATGTAGACTTCTACCCCATCTCTAAGGAATCTCATTACATACATGGAAACATTCCAAAACCTGAAAAAAACTGAAATTAGAAACTCTTCTGGTCCCAAGCATGTGGGTAAGGGAGACTCGACCTTTAATGCTAAATAATAGGTATCAGTATTCCCTAGTTGTCCCAAAATGTGATTTATATCTGAGGGGTTTTGTTTTTAGAGTTTCTTTTGATCCAGAATAAGGCAGGTGTCAACTACTAGGAAATCTAGTGTGTAAAAATAATATCTTTTTGAATGGAAGTAGCAACAGAAATTAACAAAAATTCTTCTTGCTTTACATGGGAAAGAAAACATCAGATCATTGTTTTTAAAAACTATTTTTAGAAGCCAGCAGGTGGCGTAGTGGTTAAGGGAGTTGGACTCCCACATGGCAGTTCAAGTCCTAGACCTGGTGGCTTACTCTCTCGCTTTCTCTCTCTCACTCTATCCCCCTCTGGTCAAATAAAAATGAATAAATAAAGTTAAATAAAATAGTTCCTTTTTTTATTTTTTTGCTATAGGGCGCATACGCTCGCCAGACAGACAGAGAGAGAAAGAGAGACAGAAAGCGAGAAATCACCCCCCAGGAGGGATGGCCACACCGCAATCCCTTCTCCTCCATTCTCCTCTCGGGATCTTGGGC